CACTAACACCAGGACCACAGCACCAACACCACTAACACCAGGACCACAGTACCAGCACCAACACCACTAACACCATAACCACAGTACCAGCACCACTAACACCAGGACCACTGGTACATCAGTTCCACCAACACAACTAACACCAGGACCACAGTACCAGCACCACCAACACTAACACCAGGAGCACAGTACCAGCACCAACACCAGTACCACTGGTACCACCAGCACCACCAACACTAACATCAGGACCACAGCAACAACCCCACTAACACCAGGACCACAGTCCCAGTACCAACACCACTAACACCAGGACCACAGTACCAGCACCAACACCACTAACACCAGGACCACAGTACCAGCACCAACACCACTAACACCAGGACCACAGCACCAACAACACTAACACCAGGACCACAGTACCATCACCAACACCAGTACCACTGGTACCACCAGTACCACCAACACAACTAACACCAGAACCACAGTACCAGCACCACTAACACCAGGACCACTGGTACCATCAGTACCACCAACATCACTAACACCAGGACCACATTACCAGCACCAACACCACTAACACCAGGACCACAGCACCAACACCACTAATACCAGGACCACTGGTACCACCAGCACCACCAACACTTACACCAGGACCACCGCACCAACACAACTAACACCAGAACCACAGTACCAGCACCAACACCACTAACACCAGGACCACAGTACCAGCACCAACACCACTAACACCAGGACCACAGTACCAGCACCAGCACCACTAACACCAGGACCACAGTACCATCACCAACACCAGTACCACTGGTACCACCAGTACTACCAACACAACTAACACCAGAACCACAGTACCAGCACCACCACCAATACCACTAACCAGAGTTCTGAACAGCAGATGTCTTTCTCCGGGTCACTAGATCCTGAACTTTGACCTTTGAACTGCCTAATGTGGTTTTAAAGGTTGTAAGAGTAAAAACCTTGACAAAAAACAACTTTTATCCTGTTAAAACATTTCTGAGAGAAACACCAAACATCAGAAGAACCTGGATGAGTTCTGGTCCGATGCATCATCAGTGACAAAATTCTGACTTGTCAAAGATCGTAGAGTCTGATTCAGACTTTAGGTTCTGTTTTCCTTTATGAAAAAAAAAAACATTTTTAACGTGTAAAAACAACATATTCTTTGTTTCTGTTTATAAACTTCTGTTTTCTTCCCATAAAACTGTATTTTTGTTAAATTGAAAAACTAACAAAGTTTTCTGAACATTTTAATGTTTTCTTTTGTAAAAAAAAATATACATTTTTGTGAGTTTTTGGTCCAGAAGGAGATTTTTCTTGTCCTGAACCATCAAATCTTTATTATCAGAATAACCTCATGTTTTCCTGCTGCACTAAACAACAGATTGTTGTTGTAAAATGTAAAACCATTTAAATAATTATTCATGATCATATTCAGAGTTTGGCCTGTGAGTTTTTTCTCTCAGCTGCAGAGTTGTTTTGTGTATATAAAGAAATTAGTACAAAAATAATATATCTGTAAAATAGAGCATAATATTTTGTCTTTCCTGATGAACGCATGCTTCTGGATGTTTTTATTTACGTGTTCAATGGAAACGTAAACTGTAAAATAAAGTATTTATTTAATGTTTAAAAAGCTGATGACATGGTTTAATTTCATGTAATTTTGGAATAAAATCGTACATGTTGAAATAGATAGTTCTGTGAGGTTATAAGTCAAATAGGCTTATTTTTTTTGTGAATATCCAATGTTTTAAACAGCACCGCTGAGGAGTGGAAAAGTAAACAGAGATGCCATGTTGTGATGTCATCAACATAACGCTAAGCACATAGCTAATATCAATAACAGTTGTACACTCACGGTTGAAAACCTTGATCATTGTTCCAGCAGAACATCTAGTCTGGAATTGGTTTGTGTGGTGGAATCATCAGCCTGTTCTAGTTCAGAAGAAGGTGGTGGTGCTGAAGAATATGTGGTGGGTGGGAAGTGGGGCTTTACTGTTTGAGCTGGCTGAGTGGACCTCCTGGAAAGCAACTGTGAGCAGGAGTGACGGGGGAGAGGCCAACAGGATCACAGCAGAGGAAGACTCTCAGCAGCGGAACACAGACTGGTATGCCTTTTTCATCTATATTACAGCGTTATTTACAAATGTGATGTAAAACCAATTTTTCTAGTAAATTTGTAGCAATATTTTATAATTAAATTAGAAGATCTTGATATTGTGAAAATTTAGGAAGATACTGGTCCAACCTCTTCTTCTCTGCCCACATCAAGAAGATATTTCAAATATTATATACTGATGTATACATTCACTTTTTCCCAAATTTGGTTTAATTAGCATAAATTACATTTATATTACAACAAATTATTCATATGTAATTTATAATTAAACCGGCTTTTCTGATACATCTGAAGCAATGTATTTATAATTGAAATATCTGCTTGATATTGTGGGCAAAGATGGAGATACTGACCCAACACCACCTTCACAAGCCACAAGGTCTCATTTGATTACAGTTTTTATTGATTGCTTTGACCTGTTTGAAGAAACTGGGAACCTCTCAATCTTCATGATCATCATCATCTCAGCAGAACAGAGGACACCTCTTGCAAATGTGTTAACTCATTCTCATTGGATTGACACAGTTTTCCCACCATTTTGCAAAACAGTTAACGCAGATGTCATTCAAGAAGAAGTCCAAACTCCGTTTTAGCTGTGGTTACAAAACAGAAACCATCTGCTCCAAGCTCTTAGAAACTCCCTGATCAGTATGAAATCACAGAAAGCACCTGTTTGACACTTATTCACAGGATTTTTCAATTTGCAATCAGTCTGCAGGCCTGTTCTCTTCCTGTTCTGGATGCATTTTTTGCAAGAGGACAAATTTGACTACAAACAGCACTGGTATGTAAGCTACGTACAGTCATAGGCTACAAGCAGTGGTGCACTGATTCACACATGAGTGCTGTATTTTGTATTTTGTTGCCCATTGTGTACTGATTGATTGGAGGTGCTCATACACTTGTGTATGAGCACAAGTTGAGTTGTTTGAAGGCAAAGTTTGCTTTTGTTCCATATTTTAAATGTTTTGACACAGTTGTTGCCTTTTGCAAACAAAATGTGTCATTTTGACCACTGTGTCCATGTTTAGGCCTCTGCGCTAACTGTTTTGAAAATGTGGTTTTTGAGTAGACGGCTGCGTCAAAACAGTCAATAAAAACAGTAAGATTGTTCCATCCCTAAGAAGCATGAGGTCTTGGCCCTAGATGACATCGGTTACGCCACACCTGTCAGGAAACAGAGGCCATTCAATTGTCTATGCGTGGCAATCACCATGAAACAGAGATTTTTGATCTTTAATTCACCCAAACTTCCTCTTATCTTAGGGGCCTCCTGGCTAAATCATTATAACCCCCATATTGACTGGAGAAGGTAAATGGAATGTACTTTGTTTAGCGCCTTTCTACCCAACCAGGATACTCAAAACTCCACACTACAATCTGTGTCCTCATTTACCCATTCACACAGCACTCTAGCTATCTCCTACAAAGCTAAAATGTACAATCAACTACGGAGACTAATCAGTGCCAATCACATTCATACACTGATGGGACACATCAGAGGCATTAGGGGTGAAGTATCTTGCCCAAGGACACAACAAATGAGACAGCTGGACGTGGGATCGAACCAGTGACCTTCCGGTTCCAGGACGATTCCCCTAACGGTGAGGGGGAGAGACTTCGGGCTGGGCGGGCGGAGAGCTGTTTATTTACATGTCTGTTTGAAGCTCTTTCTGCTTCTCTTCTCACCCACAGGATGGAGGAGACATACCCCAATCTTTCCAAAGTCCCCACCATTTATCATGATCTGAAAAAGGTTTTCAATAAGGTTAAAGCTACCTCTTTACCACCCCATCACTCTTATGACTGTCCTGTTGATCTGTTACCAGGTACCACACCACCCAGAGGGCGTTTGTATTCCTTGTCAGGACCAGAGAACCAGGCAATGAAGGACAATGTGGAGGACTCACTCCGAGCAGGTATCATTCGCTCTTCATCTTCTCCTGCTGGAGCAGGCTTCTTTTTTGTTTCCAAGAAAGATGGGTTCACTCAGACCTTGCATTGACTACAGGGAATTAAATGAGATCACCATTAAAAATCGATACCCTTACCACTAATGAGTACTGTCTTTGATTTGATTCAAGGCTCCTTTGTATTCACCAAATTAGACCTTCGAAATGCTTACCACCTCATTCGTATCCATGAAGGAGACGAGAGGAAAACAGCTTTTAACACCCCCCACAGGTCATTATTAATAGTTTGGACTAACAAATGTCCCTGCTGTCTTCCAAGCCCTCATTAATGATGTCTTCAGGAATATGGTGGACCAGTATGTTTTTGTTTATCTGGACAATATTTAATTTTTTTCCAAAGATCTTGAATCCCACAAGAAGCATGTTTGAGCAGTCCTGTTGAGGCTCCTCCAGAATAATCTCTGCGTCAAGGCAGCAAAATGTGAGTTTCACCAGACCACTACATCCTACCTTGGCTTTGTCATCTCTGCTAACCAGGTATCCATGGACCCTGCCAAGGTCTCTGCTGTGTTGCATTGACCCCAGCCTACTGGTCGCAAACAACTCCAGAGGTTTTTGGATTTTGCAAACTTTTTTTGTAAGTTCATAAGAAACTACAGTCTTGTGACCTCTCCCCTTCATGTGTTGACTTCTGTGAAAGAGAAGTTTGTTTGGAATCCCATGGCTGAAAAAGCCTTCAACAAACTGAAGGAATTGTTCACCTCCACCCCAGTTCTTCATTCTCCAGATACCTCTCGTCAGTTCATTGTGGACGTAGATGCCTCCGATACAGGGGTAGGAGCAGTCCTTAGCCAGCGGTTCTCTGACAACAAAACTGACCCATGTGCTTTCTTTTCCAGAGGCTTATCAGATTCCAAACTTAACAACGATGTGGGCAATAAAGAACTGCTGGCAGTCAAGCTTGCATTCGAGGAATGGAGGCATTGGATGGAGGGAGCTAAGGAACCATTCCTTGTTTGGACAGATCACAAGAATCTGGAGTACCTTAAGTCTGCTAAAAGACTCAACCCTCGACAGGCCATGTGGGTCCTTTTCTTTTGTCGTTTCAGCTTTGTGTTGTCCTACAGACCTGGTTCTAAGAACGTTAAGCCTGACGCTCTCTCCCGGATTCAAGAGGAAGTCAAAGACGAAAGGACTAAAGATGAGTTCATTCTCCCAGAGAGTGTCTGCTTGTCCATTACTCAAGTTGAGAAAGAGGTCAGGCAGGCATTCCAGGATCATCCACCCCCTGCAGAATGCCCTAGAGACCACTTGTTTGTTCCCGACCACCTGGTAGAGAAAGTACTCAAATTCTTTCATTGTTCACGCATCTTCTGTCATCCAGGTATCAACAAGACCTTAAGCATCATTAAGTCACAATTTTGGTGGGCCTCAATGTCTAAGGATGTTAAAAACTTTGTGTCATCTTGTATCCAGTGCTCCCAGTCCAGACCCTCTCAATGCCCACCAGCAGGTTTCTTGTATCCCATGCCTGTCCCGTCGACTCTGGTCTCACATCTCGATGGACTTCAAAACAGGTTTGCCCGCATCCAATGGATTTGCTGTCATTCTTACTATTATTGACAGGTTCTCCAAGATGGTCCACCTTGCTCCTCTCAAGAAACTACACTCTAATAAAGAACTCAGTGAAATTACCAAAGAGGTCTTCCACTTGCATGGTCTCCCTTGTGATATTGTTTCAGACTGAGGTCCTGCTAGTCTGTAGTTCTCCTCTTGAACAGCAGGTAGCACCAAACAGAAAATGATCCTGCTGCAGATAAAGATTTACAGAAAATGGTCTGATTTTACTGGTAGACACATGTTAAAGTTTTCACAACATTTATAATATTAGTTCTTTATTGTGTTTTCAGATCAGGGTTTGTAAATTCAGTTTTAGAATAAATATTTCTGTGTTTCCAACATATTTCTTATTTCATCACAGAAATAAAAAAATCTGTTTATAAAAAGCAAAGAAAGAAAACTGAAGAGTCAAACCCAGTTGGAGTGTTAAAAAGTCTTCTATCTATAATTAATAATTGTTGTGGTTCCATCAGGTTGAGAACAAACTGGACCATCAGTCCTGAAACCCAGCAGTGATTTAAACCCGGTCCAGTTCCAGAGGATCAGTTTCATCGTCAACAGCTTCTCTGCACCTGCAGAGTTAATAAAAACTAAAAACTCAGATCTTTTCCCCATCGAGGTGCAGATCCTCCTGAGGCCCGGCTCACATCCAGTAGCTCCACAGATCCTGGATCAGAACCGTCCTGCCTGGATTCACTGCAGCGAAATCAACAGAATCAAGAATCTGAGAGGAAAAATAAACTGTTTAAAGTTTAAATCGTGAAACTTTTCTAACCTTAAATGTGTGGGAGTTCTCTTTGTGTTCGTGGAGCAGAGGAATAAAATATCAGATCTCAGGAGCTCAGAGAGAAGATTATCCATCCTCCATGTTGAAGATAAAAACTGCCTGACCTTCTCCAAGCTGCTTCATGTTCCTCTGGCCACAACTGACCAGATTTTTAAAATTAGAGCGTTCATGAGTCTGCATGTGGTCAACCTCCCAGGACATGGATGCAAGAGGGACTGCATCCACAGGGACATGCAGGCTGTTTTATTTTATTTTATTTTTGTATTTTCACAGATCTGATGTGTAAACTGAACATTCATTACGTATTTGTTCCATGGGGTGTAGCTCCTTCATTGAAAACTTTCTGGTTGTTCTGAGTTTATTTATTTTTCTGTAAAAATTTAACAGGTGAAACCAGAAAGAACTAATTTTATGAAACACATTTGTGTAAAAACCATAAAAACAGTCAAACGGTCATCAAAACTCCATCAGGCGTGAGTCAGCGCCACCTCCTGGACACACAGCTGTGGTTCTGCAGCTGGTCCGACCGGTTCTCTGACGGTTTGAAGCTATGAGGATGTAGATCTGCTCTGAGGCCAGATCCACTCCAACATCAGCACAAAGAGGAGCTCAGCAGGTGAAGCTGGACTTTAAATCCACATGCGGTGAGTTCTACAGGTGAGGTTCTGTTGGGTCAGAACCTTATCAGAACATACATGTTTGAAAAGGTTGGAAGTTCATCAGATGAATTATTTTTGAATAATTTACGATAATTGTCTTGCTGAAAGTTTTGTTCAGGTCCCAGAACCAGGATCATTTCTCTGCCTCAGTTTAGTTTAAAGACTTTTTTTTATATAAAATAGTTTCAACAATCAGGAAGAATTAAGGTGAATAAAATTATAAACTCTCAGATCTTTTTAAGTTTTGGAACCTGAGGTCGACCTGTGTGAGTCTCTGGGTTCTGGTGACTGAAGTCTCACTCAGCTGGACTCTTGTTCTGGTCCACAACAAAAACTTCAGGTTTTAATGGAAAACATTTAACTAATGAATATACAGATTAAATGTTTCTGTTGGTTCTGTGTCAGAGGTTTGGGTCGGTCTTTAGTTTTTGTTGGTTCTGTGTCTGAGGTTTGGGTCGGTCTTTAGTTTTTGTTGGTTCTGTGTCAGAGGTTTGGGTCGGTCTTTAGTTTTTGTTGGTTCTAAATCAGAGGTTTGGGTCAGTCTTTAGTTTTTGTTGGTTCTGTGTCAGAGGTTTGGGTCGGTCTTCAGTTTTTGTTGGTTCTGTGTCTGAGGTTTGGGTCGGTCTTTAGTTTTTGTTGGTTCTGTGTCAGAGGTTTGGGTCGGTCTTTAGTTTTTGTTGGTTCTAAAT